GATAATGCTATAAGAATATTTAGCTGGGCAAAGCGAGTACGGAGAATGTTGATGATATCATGTGGATATAAAGCATATTTTTAATATGCTCAGAATATGCAATTCCCGTAGGGATTATCGAATATAGGGATCTACATTTTGAACTCTTGAAGAATAATGGTTCGTTTCATTCCGCTCCTTAACGTGCTACCAACGAATCATTTCCCATATCTAGTAGTTCTAATATCCTATCTTCAGTGCAACTCATCCTTCCAGTAGAGGGTTAGCAGCGTTTGCACTGCGTTACTTGTTGATTAGCATAGTCCATAAATCTATATTCTAAATATTTTTTCGCTTTTCAGCGAAAAGTGTCTTACATATAGTTGCACTCTTAAACGACCTCTAATGTTTCAAGGGAGCGAAATCCCGAAATTGCTTAGATACGAATGTGGAGAGGGCATCCTAGGGTACAAACCTAATGGGAAAAATTCCCTCAAAAAGATTCGCCAATTTGCCCTTAAGGTCATCGACTAAGACTGACCTGAAAAAGTACTTCGGGAGACCATTTTCACACATTGATGTGTGCCCCCAACTGTCATCTATTGAACGCTGAAAACCGCAAGTCGCTGTGATCTTCCATTCAAAAGTTATAAGCCTTTCTTCCATCTGCCTTCTTTAAAAATTCCGATAGTAAAAAGTCATTGAAAAAACTAGCTTCATTTAATAAAGTCTTCCGAGAGCTGTTCTAGCTGTTTCTGTCTGTTTGTGTATGATAAGGTAATCAATCAATAATAGAGAAAACGACAGAAAAAACTTGAAGTGGTACATGATAAAGCTTTCATATTTAGTGGTTCTTACTTTTTTTCGTCTTATCAATAGTTTATAGAGTTATGGTCAAACGTTGCAAGTATATTGACATATATTTATTTCTACTTCTTTTGTCTCTTACTGATAAAATGAAAAAAATTAAGGAGTTCGCTCTTTCCTTTTCACTGAAGACTGCATATCAAATTATACTATCAACAGTCTGATTTCAATTTCGTTGTTGTCTGTTAGCGATACACTCTTGCTTTTTTCTTTAATCTTTGATTTATAACATTCCTGTTTATCTGTTCTTTTTATATACAAAAAAATAGAAATGATACACTTCTCCTGCTAACCACAATCGAATTATTACTTGTAAAAAATTCTCTTTGTCACAACGTCTTTTAGTGATGGTTGAGGCATCGGTTGAGATATTTTTAACCGATGCATCCAATGATGATAATCCGATTACTGTTGAAAAAAATGAAAATGACGCCTCAAAATTCATCGGTTCAGGTCGCTCTCATGCACGAAATGGTAAATATTCTCAAGCTATAACTGATCTAGCCCATGCTACACATTTACAACCAACGAATTATGAAGCATTTTATTATCTCGGATTAGCATACCTCAAGGATAAACAGTATAATAATGCTAGCCAAACTCTGAAAAAAGCAATTGAGAAAAGCAGTACTGTGAACAAAAAAAATATTAATCATTGTTACTTTAAATATGCATTTGCGTGTCACAATAGTAATCAATTTGAAGAGGCTGTCGCATATTACACAAAATTCATTGAAAACGTGAATGAAGAAAACCAATATCCAGGCTTATTGAATCGAGGTATCTGTTATGATAAATTAGAGCAATATCATCAAGCTCTATCCGACTTCAATCGTGCTCTTGCACTCACGGAGGAACAAGCTAAGCCTTACTGTTTAAGTTGTCGTGCTAGGGTGAAGGCTAGAATGAATGATCAAAAAGGAGCTCTGGAAGACTATGATGAAGCTATGAGTCATGCAGCTGCATTCATTGAGCAAATGAACCAGCCAAAGGAGGCGAATGATAATATTATCAGTTCCAATTTTCCACCAACGATCGATCCTAACAGTCCGCTTGATATTCTGAATCGTGCTGAAAAAGAAGACAACGATGGAGACAATATGGTATCTATGCTGAATATGAATAGACTGCTAGATGAAGACAAAGAAAGTTTTGACGAACAAATTCAAGATCTTGAAAATCAAAGGAAGTTTATATCTGATTCAAAGGTCTGTCGATTTATCACGCAATACATTATAAAATTGGAGGATGCTGGGCACAATGTACATAAACATCAAGAAGCAATGAAAACATTCAAAGATTATTCGAGCTGGAAAATCTACTATTGCACTCTTTATTATAGGCTTGAAGAAATGTTCATGGCTTGTAAAACAATTGCAAGCGGTAGAGTGAGACCGATGGAAGGTAAACTTGGAACATTCGCCGATGTTATAACACTCGCCGGTGAGCTTATTTCACTTGTACCTGTCGTTGGAGAGCCGATAAGTAAATTTGCACAACCAATTTCTATGATTGCTAAAGCGATTGATTACAGGCAACAGAGAAATACTATGACTCACATAGCTAACTTAGGAACTACACAAGAATTATGGAAGATATCCCAGTCTGTTGCACAACAATTGACAGAAAACTACCGACCATTACTCTTGGAATTGCTTTCTTCAAACAAAGAAGATGATGATGATGATGAAACTGAGAAGCAAGTATCTGAAGCAAAATGTTGTGGTTGTATACCTAAATCCAGTTGCTTCAAAAGTAAAAGTTCCGAAGAAAATCATGAACATCCACTTACTAGGCAAGGTTATATCCAGCAAGTGAGAGATGTTGCAGAGTATGCTGTTGCACTCATGCTAGAATTTTTACTAAACCATGAAAAAGTTGATCATGTGAAAAAACAAATGGACCGAAAATTGATTTCTGATGCAAAGAAAACAACGAACGAAAAATCGATTGACGGTGAATTGCAGCCATTGGTCGAAAAATTGGTTAATGCTGTGCGTACTCCATTAGAAGATCAATTTGGAATAGTAAAGAGAGTGAAGTTTATATTTAAGAATCGAAGAATTAAAACAGAAAAAAGCAAAAAAACATGGACATTTGATGGATTTTATCATTGCCCAGGGATTAGCACTCCAGAGAAACAGCAATACTTTGGCCCCAGAAGTAACCCTGAACTGTACTCTTATCGTAATGGAACAGAACAAGAGGCGAATCAACTAGAATACCAACTCAAGAAATGATTTTATCAACAGGCTATACTCTTCTCCGTCAATATCAATTCATTTTTCTATAATTCTATTCGAAAAGAAATGCTACGGTATTTGTGTCATACTCTTGTTCATTGATATCTATTCGAATATCTAGCTTTTCTTATATTTTTATCTTTGGATAAATACCTTTTTTTTGACTTGCTTTCAGATGATGAAGTCTTCTACCAGACCATATTCGAGTTTCACAGATCCATATTTAACGCTTTATTACCAGCATGAACATCGATTAAAACAAATACGAAAGTTTGGTTTAGTGAGCGCTTACAGGCTTGACTCTCTTACTTACTTAACTCTCTGTTTCCTATTAGATTAATATAAACAATGAAGTTTACCCAGAAACAGTTTATCAAGCGAATATTGCCCTGGCTGAAAGAAGAGAAGCTGCTGCAGCGTTGAAGCTTGAAAAAGAGGCTCGAGAGTATGCTCGATGTCTTATTTTTCACTTAATACCTTCAAAATCTTTATTACAATTATTTATAGAGAGTTGCATAGGCAGCATGTCGCACTTCACAGACAGTGGAACGAACAGGAAAATGCAAAAAGATGTCAGCGAGTTGCAAGTGCAAAAGTAACCAATAAAATACTCTGAAGTTTTATCCATAATTCGAATCAGTATGTTTGTCTCTCTGTAGGCTGAAAAAGAGAGATATGCTTCTCCAGATATCCGCCTACCTAATTTTACCAAATGGACTAGAAAGGTAAATTCTTTACTATGTCTCTTATATCATAATTTCGTTTTCGATAATTTTTTTTTGAATAGGATTTCATTAAAAATGGCTTTGAGTATTATCCAGATTATTGTCGTCCACAAACTGCACCTACAGCGGAGTGGCATCGATTAGGACGACAAAATTCTAATGCACGATCGACTATTTTTAATAGAAGTCCTTATCTTGATTCGCGATCTTCATCTCCAAAAAACGTAATCAAAACACGGTAAGATAATATAAATGATCCAAGACAAATTTGTGGCGGATAGTGATTTTTTTCTTAGCAGTATCAGTTTCAGTCAACAACAGCTACATTGGACCAAGACGATCCATAGAGTAGAATAAGTTATTGCTTAATCAGCTTATCAGATAACAGTCACATACAGTCCTCTATGAGTCTTATCAGTCTTACAGTAACCGCAGATACGACGTAAGAGTTGTGCTTCATTTTCGTGGCGCTTCTTGCTGTTTTTTTTCAAGTATTTTACTTTATCTTGGTTCTTGCAGATGAACAAAAAGCTCGATAGTCTATATAACAGTCATTTCAACTGAGTTATAACCTACACTTAAAAAAACTTTTCTATAATAAAGAACAGGAAAAGGCTCGTACCAAGTACGAACAATAAAGAATGCTTTTCTTAAATTTTGAAGATTAAAAACAACTGATAAACGTTGTCTTCATGAGTTCAAGAAACCTGGAACGATTAGTTTCAGCTAGTGAAGTTATTGAACATCTTCCTGCTAAGATATAAGCATTCTGCAAAGAAATTTTCAATCGGGTCTTGTAAGATTTGAGCCAGACTACAATAGGATATCAACTTTCCAGTAGGTTTCTTTTCCGAAGAAATTGATGTGTCTCGTTCAAACGTTTTCCTTCCAACTACTGATGATGAATGACTAATTTGTTGTGCAAAAAGAAGCAGCACCAGGTTTCTGACAGATCAGAACCAATTGTGATTTATGCGCAATGATTGCCTATTCATTACATTTGAACACGTGATTAATGCACTGTGTTCTTAATTTACTCCCTTCGTTGTATTCATTTTGTTATCTCATATGTGAGTGCAAAATTTAGGCTATTATATTGGATGATGCAAATAAATCTATGACAAATTATAATATTAAAAAAATAAGTTGATTTTATTTCGATAACATAAATCAATATTGATATTGATTGTTAAAATATAGTGAGTGAGGTACGATGAATCATCGCTGAGTATATTATCAAAATAAATCGGAGATAATAAACTCTCACCATCAGTTAATTACAATTAGATAGATCCGTTTTCGTTCTTCTGAGTATAATCTGCTATTTCATAAACATTGGCAAGATTTATTGGCGTGTCTCGAATTTATTTACACTTGTACTGTTTTCTCTGTTTAAAAATCTTTTTTTTGGTATGTGTACAGAGACAGCCTTCAGATAAGAAGTTTATCATCACATATTTAAAATATAATCGCATAAGAATAAAGGCTTTATTGAGATGTTTATTCGATTTATATACTGAAGAAAGATTCATAAAAGTGCAGAATAGGTTCATATAATTGAAAAATGTCTTATCTAATAGCAATAAACGACTAGCAAATACTCATTTTTTCCGGTCTATTTTTGCAATGCATAAAGTTTCTCTTTTCACATGCAGCGATCTCGCACTCATCGAATTCATGATCACTGCATAATACTTCATATGATCAACACGATAGCCAACTTTATGGAGTATGAAGAAGGAAAAATGATCTATTTCGGCAGACTCCAAGAGTATTTTCAAGCGATTTTCTTTAGCTTTTTAGCTATGGTAAAGCTACGATCAAAGTATGTGACGACAATTTCGACTTGCGTTTATTTGATATTAGTCTGTCTTAGAGTTAAGTCCAAATACATCATCATACTTTACTTAAACGACGATTATGATTGTAGCATATGTTGATATGACACTTGAAATAGCTAAAAGATTGTAGGAGATCAAATTTACGTATCCTTGGAAAGAGTTTGAAATATTGATTTTTCACTCTTCTTTCTTGTATTCTCAGTTTGCATCTTACACTCTTATCTTCCAGGACGATTGCAACTTCTCCAATACCACCACAAACACCAATATTACCTCCAATTCACCCTCCTCTTCCTCCTTTAGATCCCCATATTTTCTCGTTCTTCAAAAATTCAATACCATTGGACCTTTTGGACGACACATTCTAAGAAACAAATGCTGTATAATAGACACCAACGACGATCCCATTCAAAGTCAAAGAACTGCATTAAAAAATGCGTGACATTATTTCATTTTAAAGTATAATTAATAAATCTTCGAAAAACTTCATATTTACTCATAATCATCCGTTTGAAAAGCTTCAGCCATCTATAGTGCGAAGAATTTAATCACAATGCAACTATTTTACAGCGTTAAATCCATATTATTCCAATTTTCATAGTGGATGGATGAGAAAGTCTGGAAAGCTTGAAGATATATGTGTTCATGCGTTTCAGCATGCACTAAATGAAGAACTACGGGCGTAGTCACTCCTCATTCATTTAAATTTCCTTATGTTGTATCTCTTGCCTTTCATCTTTACCTCTTAGGATAAATTTTGACGTTCTCCACAAAGTGTGCAGTTGAAAGAAATTGCAAGGACAGCAAAAAAGATAAGCAAGGTAAACTGTTTTCATCTTTACAAAGTGACACACGAATCGTTCGGCGAAAGAAACTAAGCGCTGTTACAGACATTAAACAGCCGAAAAACCGACAACAAGAGACCCATTCAGTTTTTACGGGTATTGTGCTTAAAATTTCTTAATTATGGTAAGTAATCTGTTAGGACGAGAGTCCGGGTATGGATATGGACGTGCGTGAGATGTAGGTGTGGGTATGGATGTCATTCTCTTCCTCACAACCACATCCACACATCGTATCCAGATCCACACTCACACCCACACCCACCAGAATCGCACAAGGTTAAAAATTTAGAACTAATTATTCAGAAGTCATAGGTATCCTAGTCGAAGTCGTAAGTGATTTTTCTGGCGATTTCCGTAAAAAAGTTTTCTGTTGTTTCATTTCTGATATGTAAAAACAGTTTCTCAACATTTAGAAAATTGTAGTGGTCAATTAAAATCGATTCTAACTAAGAATTTCAAACCAAACCCGAACCCAAACCGTTAGGTCCGAACTCCGAACTCGAGTTCGGCTTCGCTGCATGCCTAAGTGTAAGTGTGGGTGTGTGTTCTATCTATAACCACACTCACACCCTTAGTTAAAATTTCTTTTCATTGACTATTAAACCAGGTAGATTTCATTTTCGATACATGAATTAGAAGTTCTTATAAATCAACAGTATATGAAATGTATCGTGACAGGGTGTGGGTGTGGGTGTGGGGTGTGGGGGTGGGGGTGGGGGTGTGGGTGTGGGTGTGGGTGTGGGTGTGGGTGTGGGTGTGGGTGTGGGTGTGGGAG